AGCGCATCAATGGCTGGCAATAAACGAAAACTAATAAACAAACAAAAAAATTTGTGTTTCTAATAGAATTTGTCAACGAAATTTGTAAATAAAATGTATTAATTCTGTTTTTCCAATATAAAGCATTGTCATAATTCCCTTAATACCCTGAATAGAATATAAAAACCCGATGTCCGAAGACACGTTTGATAATACGCATGTATAAATTAAGCATAACAATTTATTTGCACATTATTTCCTATTTCAATATTTATTCTATGTCCTCTTGATTCTCTGGTTCCCCGCTTGCCTTCTGTCACGGATTTTGATTTAACCTGCGTATAATGGAACGTTGTGAGTGAAACGACCAATCACCGCCCTCTTCCGTCTCCGGTCCGCCTTTTCTTGTTCACATTTTTTAGAAAATTCATCACTACTTTAGGAGCTGCCGTCTCAAAAAAAAAAACTATTTTTTTCATGGCAGTCCTACGAAAATACTCTCGCGCCGTAAAACAAAAGATGCACAATACTAAACGCTCCCTTGTAAAAATAAAAAATAAAATAAATACTACTACATACGTCACGTTGCAACAGTCACGTTTAAGGGTTGTGGATAGACTAAACGATAGGCTATTTATTAAAAGAACCGGTATGGAACGCGACCGTCGACATCGTTAGTAGAAGCGTACGGTTAGAAAGAGAATTAGTCGGCGTAAAACATGGGGATGCACGAAAGATGTTTACAGAAAATGCAATCCGTACACCTCTCACGTCGACGAGGCAAACACAATTAATACTTACGATATTATACCTTGGTATTACCACCGATAAATAAGCTCAATTACATTAAAAGCACGGCATTGCAGCGTATTGATATAAAACTTTCATATAACCAAAAAAAAATATTTAGGGGAATACATCATGCTTTGGCCTATTTATTTTATTGAGTCGCTCTCAATTTTCTTTTGTATAGATTGTAAACAATTATCAAGTCACCGATTTAAGCGCGAAAGTGTACAATATTATATAAATAAAAAATTATTAGGTGCGTTACATAATCAGGGAGGTAGGAGGTTATAGCATCGTGCATCCCCTGTTTCGACGCGAGATCAGAAAACAAAAACAAAATAAATAAAAATTGTAAACGATAAAAAAGTCGGAACACGGATTAAGAGGGAGACAATTTGATCATTAAATAAAAACAAAAGTCGAAATAAAACACAAATTCATAATGACAGACATTACGAATGGGTTAATAAGGTATCGAGTGACAAGTGACAGACAGACAAGTGTAAATGGATTATAATTATTTACAACAAAAATACTTCAACAGTCTTTTCAGAGCCCTTTTGGAAATGTTTGTCAAATGTAAGCAATCGCATGAATCCACTGCAATAATCACACATTATCAAAAAGAGCTCAAACGCTGTTCGTTGCATTAGGATCTTAGATCTTTACGAGTCTTTTTCCACAACCCTTTTTAGTTCACAAAACTATTTGTTATGATAAATCAGGGCCCCACATTAGGCGGCTAAATCTAAAGGTAGAGAGAACAGAAACAATCTTCACGATTGTATTTTGATGATAATGGTGAGAAAGTGAATCATAAAAGTGCATGACAAGCGGTGCTAAACTAACGTGCTAAGCACGAATCTTTGCGTGTGGCGATGGAATGTAGCTCGTAGGTATGGCAAGTAATTTTAAAAGGCGTTTTGTATTGCATTCATGCCTTTACATTGCATGCATAGTGTAAGACATTTGCTATTTGCGTTATTTTCGTTATTCACACATGCTTTGTATATTTTCCTAAAGTTCATATGATATAAAACAAACAGGTTAAAACTTATTATGCTGTTAGATTCTAATCGTCACCAAAATCTAAAGATTTTTTATGAAATAGGTCATATAAATTTAGTAAATTCTAAAATTATTTTCAAAGTATTTAAATACTCAATTTTTATTTATTAATATTATTACAACACACTGTATATGTACTACTATAAACCTGTTTTTATTTTGTCAACTAGTGAAAATGATATTGCTCATTTTGAGAGATAAAATTCTGTCATTCTAAAATTATATATTATAATACAACATGTATGTATGAAGTTAAAGATCCTATAAATTAATTCTAAAAAAAAAAAGATTAAAAAAGAATAGTTTGTGCGTGATGTAGTGTAACAAAAAGGGCTCATATGCTTTTTATAGTATAAACTAGTAATTTTCTTTTGTCTTATTATAATTTCCATAAATTATAAATTATGAAAATAAAATTAAAAAGGTTTCCATACCTTGTACTTTAAGTGAACAATTTTAATTATTCAAATATGTTTTATATTATGTTATTAGTTTCTCGGAAACGACTCTAACGATGTAGATGAAATTTTGTATTTAGGTAATGTTTTACTATCCAAGTTAATCTTGATAAGTTTCATCGCTGAGATAATTCAGTTTACAGCGGAACAATGCTCGGTCGACAAAGCGTAGTCATACAGCTATTTTATTAAACACAAAACGTCTTTCAAAATTCTTTATGATCTATTGGCGTAAAGGCATTACAGTGAAAAGACGAAACAAAAGATAGACAGAGGATAGTGTTTATAGAGATTGAGTTAGTTACATTAAGTGTTAATCAATGTTGTTTGTTGTGATGTTGAATGATCACTGATCAGTGAACAATTAGTTGTGAAGGATTTAGATTTTAATTTAGTTGAGTGGGTGAATGTTCAGCCAGTCGATGTTACGTTTTATATTTGCAAAACAATTTACAGTTGCAGAACGATCGATTATATTTTATTTGAAGTATCTATTTAATATAAGAAATCTATAAAATTGATTTCATATTTCAACAAATCTCGAATTATATTATAAGGCGAGATATCTTTAAATAAAGAATATTTCGAACACATAACACAGACCTTAACAACAGGATATTTGTTTAAAGAAAGTGATGACATTTAAAGACATTTAATACAACTGGCAGGACGGTCATTTTCAAAGTATTAAATACAGAGTTTGAGAATTGAAAAAATATACAAATAAATAGAAATACATTTTCCTAATATAAATAATCTGTATTTAATATTTTTATTTATTTAATAGCCCTGAAACACATATAATACACCATATAGCCTTAAATATACCGTTAAAGATACGATTGATTACGAGTATCGATACAAAAAATTAAAACTAATTATATTCTAAATGTAGTACATACAATTAAATTCGATTAGTGATGACGTGATCACATCAAAATAATTAAATAAAAAATAACTTTACAATATTGATCAAAAATTCATAATCGTAGTTCATAATCGTATCGACACTATTCAATCGTATCTAATTTGTAACAATAAAAGCGTATTAGGTCTCGTGAGGGCGGTCCGAACTATAGACTCAAAAAATGGACTGAACGTTTTGTTAAATATATATTATGAAATATATACTGTACATTATATTTAAACAATGCATGTTACTTCAATTAAAAATCTTTTGCGATTTTTTGTCACAAATTATTTTTGTTACATGGACAAAAATATGCATTATTTAATTACCGACAAGTTTCTATTAAAGTATCGTGATTTGAATTGACATATTATATACTTGTTTCACTAATATTAAAATCAATATTAATTTAAAATAAATACGAAGTTAAAATAGGCCTGTATCACTCCGCGCTTTGGGCATGATACTATACCTAAGCCGCGCGGCCCCCTACACGGTACACTAATTCAGTGAGGATGTTACCCGCGCGCTCGAGTTGACGCGGACGGGCGACCTTATCCAAGAGAACTCCTCCCTATATAGATTAGGGAGTCCGAGTAAACCCCTCAATGCCGCAGAAAGGCCAACTTTGACAAATAATTGTGTTATTTAAACACAATTAATAGATAACCTCCCTCTCTTATAAGTTAACCGACTGCGACAATAGTCGTCATAGCAACGCCTTTAACATCAAGGCGCCCAGGACCGGCACATTGTAGTGTGCCGTGAGGAACATCCGGGTAAAGGGGTACACCCCGAGGCCCGAGACCTGCACGGCATTTATGCCCTGCAGAGGACAACAACGCGGAGTTGACGCGCGCCTAATGTTAACTAAAATTATTTAATTATTATACGCATTATTAAGGATAACTCCTAAACTACTGGTTAGATCTTGATCAAATGTATAGGGGACTAGATCAGAAGCACCAGCTTTCAAATAAAAAAACGAATCATTAAATTCGGATCACCTAAACAAAAGTTATGAGATGATACACATAAAAAATACAGTCGAATCGAGGACTTCTTTTTTTTGAAGTTAGTTAAAATGGTAAGTAGGTAAATTATGAGTTTCAAAGACGTGGACGTTGTTACAACCTTAATTTTTCTCGATGTTGCATATTGACCTTCCTCATATTGAACAATAATGATTCTACTACTAATTAATATCAAAGAATTCAATTTGTTTTCTTACAACAATTAACCTTACAGTAAGAGCGGCCTTAATAAAACCGCGTAGCGGGCTAAGTGATAGAGACACTCGGACGGGGACGTAAGATGTATTTTGATTTAATACGCGCGCCGCATTAAGATTTTTTTGACGACTTAATCGGTAAGCTAATTTCACGAGGGTCGCTTTCGAGGCGTCCAAAGTATTATGAACATTAGCGACGTTGCAACTAAGTTTAAACTCGCAAGTTTGCTACCAGAGAGTGATCCTTCTGTTTTTGACTACCATTTATTCTGTGATTAAAATAAATATAAGTAAAATAAGTACATATCACAATTTAAATCACATAAGTGAAGACGGATTTTAACGACGTAGGAGACATCTATATTCTTTTTTATTATTCATTCATTTTTATTGACTACGCTCGATTGTAACAAAATAATAATTTATAAATCGAATTGGCGTGAATGTTGCGTTGTTTCTTTGTAATTAATTGAACATGCAAGCGTCAGTCCATTTGTTTGCGTGTATAGCGTGTAGGGAGTGAGTGTGACGTGTGCGGTGTGTGTGCGGTGCGGACGGTACTCACCGCTTGGAGAAGCGCGAGGAGAGCTTGGAGAAGAAGGAGGGGCGCGCCTGGTGCGGCGAGCCGCCGTCGCCGTACGCGCCGCCCGCGCTCGTGCCGCGCGACCGCGTCTGCCCTGCGCGCGCATACGCACACGTGTCAACATTTCTCCTCACATTTTCTTTTTCTCTATTTATTTTATACGATTGGGATAACAAACGAGCGCACAGCCCACCTAATGGTGAGCGGATGCTATGGTCCATATACATCTCCATCTATAAACGATTCAGAATCAAAATGCAGATGCATTGTAACCCCTGAGGACTAAATTATAATGCTTCGTTTCCAGTAAACGGTTCTCTACAGTCAACATACGAAACACAGCAACATAAAGCTGCTATTTTGTGATGGTATTCTGTAAGAGCGTGGTCCTTAACGTTACTCGACCTAATTGTGGTACAACCATAATAGTTGCAGCGTGGCTTCACTACATATAAAATATCACTTTTGGCCTCTTGTCGTGATTGCGGTCGAATTACGGAAGTGACACGTTTTTTAAATTTTTAACAAAATTCAGTACATATTTCACGTGAAAGGATAAGAATCTGCGACATAAATTGATCGCAAAATATACAAAACCAATATTTGATTTGTTTTTTTTAAGTAATAATTACGTTTCCAAAAAAATATCAGGACTGTTCCAGACCTACGGACTCAATCCCTTCCTTTTGCTTGTCACGTGTAAGCAAAATCCGCAGTCAAAAAATAAGACAATAAATAGTGTTTATTATTTATTGTCTTATGTCTATGGTCAGCAATGAAGTTTTATAGGTTGTGATAAATGTCAATATTTTGCTGATATTGTAAACAAATCAATATCAAATCGGGAAACCTTCGTTTCCAAAATCAAGAACCTTATTTTTCGAAACAAAGAAACTCGCACCTTTAAAACTGATTCCATCGTCAGTTTGGATATTTTACGTCTACGTTTAAGAGATTTGTACCACCTTCTATAGAAAGACGCGGTGCCTATAATTCTTCTACGGTAGCCACTGAAAGACACAGTGTGGTGCACAGAATACTAAAATACATACATAATAGAACGGGGGAGTGGGTGGAGTCCGTTAAGCCACTAACATGTCAATTCACAAATGTCAACACAATCAATCGTTTTTAATTTTTGTGTCGAGCGTCGCTGCATGCAAATTATTTAAAAAATGGCAAATTGTGCAATAATTATGTGTCGAAAGAACAGCGAAAGAGCAGCAATAAAGGAGACATATCCTACAACCAGTAAGTCGAAACCATATATTTTGTAAATATTAGAAACAAAAATAAAGAAATATTGATGTGTCAAAACATTAATCAAAAGTCTAAAATGTGTAAATTCGCGAATCAGGTTTGTAGTAGTGATAATACGACGTAATTGTTTGTATATGTGCTCCCGGCTACACCGATCTTCGTACAAAATAAGGTTGACAGCCATTCTATTGTGTATTATAGTATTCTTGGTTTGATGTATACTTTTTTACCGCCACAAAACGGCCTAGAAATCTTAACAGAGGAAAAATTCCATAAGTAAGGGCATAAATATTGGGCTTACCTGAGTGGAAGGTGGACCTGGAGGGCACGTTCCTGGGGAACACGAGCGGGTTGGGGAATTCGCGCCGCGCGCCCGCACCCGCCCCACCACCGCCGCCGCCACCCGCAGACAGGCTCGAGTTTAAGCTGCGGACCAATATGCGCCCTATTACTATACGGGTAACGTATTTTTTGGAACACCCGGGAGTTATTAGCGTTGTTTATTCTGTACTCTGGTTACTAATCATATTTTTTTTTCAATGGCAATTAGAGATTCTTTGATATATTTAAGCACACACTTCAAGTGCCTTTATGATATATTATGTAATTCGTTTTCAAACTTAATGTAACAACCCATTTTACAAATGTTAATTGTAAATACTCCAGGTAGTAATTAATTCATTTATTTTTATAACATATTTATCATTACATGATTCAAGACTCTTCTAAGTAACAGTGTATTCTTTATTAATTTTAATGTGGTCGTTTTCAATCATTGTAATGATATTTAGCAAAATATTCAAAACCTTATATAAAAATACACCAATAGTCAACAAAATTACAAAGCTAATTCTCACAATACAAGTAATATATACCTACTATTAAAGAAAAGTTATAGGTATATTTATATACAAATTAAAATAATTATAATAACATATTAATAAATACACAACAATAGTATTATAAGAATAAACACAAAACATGCGTAAGCCAGGTAAGTATTATCAGCAAAAAAAAGCGAAATTAAAACCTCTAATAAAATTTACAACTCTTTTTTACTCTAATAAAAATTAAAATACAATAATATCTTACACGCATTATATGTAAAAAATCTATTTTCAAGACTAAAAAGCAGGTAATAAGGTATTAAAGCTTATTTGCAGCCACATCATTTTTCTTTACAACCTAAAAACAACTGACATACATGCGTGTGCTTTTAATTTAAGTTTCTCTAAAAGAGACCCACTAGAGTAAGGTGCACAAGGATTCAATAAAAGCAATGCTAAGTCAAATTAAGAAATGTGTGAACATCGTTTTAATATTTTCGGCTAATCCAAAACTGCAAAAATAATACAAAGTGCACTTAAACCACTGAGGGCGGGTTGTTTTACCGCTACTTGACAAACTCGAATACGTTGAAAATTGCGCTAATTATCATCAAACTAAATAACGAGTTTTTACAAAATGTTAGCCTTATCGTACGTTAGAAAAAAGAGTTACAATAATCAGTGCTTTGCATCCTAGTAACGTCATTTTATTTACAAGTTTTCAAACAATTTTACGTAATGAAATAAAGCTTTGTATTTACGAACATTAAAGATCTTGCGTATTTTTATTGTTTGACATAAGTTAACCGAGCAACCCGCCCTAAGTTTCAATACTACCGGCGTGTTCTGTTCAATTTTGAACAAGAAAGGCTTTAAATTATTATCATTCTCAGTAAGTAACTGAATCGTGAATCGTAAAGCTCATGGATTATCTGTCTGTCCAATTCTCTTCCAATAAAATCAAACAAAAAGTAGCGATACAAAAAAAAACCGCAAATAACACCAGTAAAATCAAAAAACGCATCTAAATCGCATCATTCAGGTCAACGCTACCTCGTGTATGGGTAAGATGTTTGAAGTAAGGAGATTAGACGAGGAGGGCCATCTCAGAAGGAACTGAACTAAAACTGTCCAATAAAACATTAACTAGTAAACCGAGTGGCGCTAATGTAGCTTTAGACTTTGATGTGAATTTAGCGATCGCACACAAATTTTACATCGTTTATCCTAAATTAGTCAAATAACATTTTAATATAATCAGCAGTCAAATTTCTTTTGCAAATTATTTTAAAATCAAATTAAATTATTTTTAAAGTGATTTTTATACCGGGTTATTCCTTTTATCCAACCTAAGAAATACATCCTAATGTGGATACTCGGACACGCGAGTTAGTTTGTCCACCCTAGACGGGATGGATAATCGCAATTCACTTTAATTGTTGTTCCGCCTTTCCACCCCAAGTACAGTTCAACAGAAAATATATTCATATTTTAACACATTACAGATAAATTTTTAATAACCACAAACTTAAAATAAAAACATATTACATATTACATTTAAGCCAAATGAAACTTCCTTGTTTTAAACAATAATAAGTAATTTATAAATTCTGCAATATGTCCAGAACCTGGAATGACCAACAATAATTTCATTATAGAGTAGACGTAATTGTATATCAAGTATAAATTCGTCTGTTTTAATGTACATTTGCAATCATTTCTTAAATTTCTTTGTTACGATAGATGTGTTAGCAAAAAACTGGGCGTTTTATTGGTAGCAATCCAAAAACTTTACTAAATTGGGATGGTTTTTGGTTTTTAACTTCATTTGAAATAGTTTTATGCCAGCATTCTAACGAATTTGTAGTTCTGTGAGGCACTACGAATGAATTCCAAACAGCCACATCATTTTCGTTCTTGAGCCATGTCTTTTCATAGTATTTCAAAAATGGTTCAAAAAAGATTTTACAAACAGCCATCATGTTTCTATAAACTATACAAAGGCGAGGGAGAAAATCGGAAAAAATAACATACGAATTCCGATTATCCACCCCATCTGGGGTGGATAAACGAACACGCGCTTCCGAGTATCCACCCTAGGGTGGATTTCTTAGGGTAGATAAACGATATAACCCGTTATACCCTTTGAAAATAGCACAAATTTGGATGTTAAATGCCCTTCCTCTACTGTGAAATAGACGCTTTGTTGATAATTCAGAAGCACAGTAATACTGTGGCATTTTACTGTAATTGGAGGATCACATTTGTACTGCTGCCCTACTCTAAAAAATTTGCAGTTCTTTCAAATTTAGACTCACAGTAACGCCATCTTAATTTAATTCACAACGCGACACATTAGCACATCGAGATGGCACTCCTTTCATCTACTCTCTACAGTGGGAAGCCCTTGTACCTTGGGCGAGGCGGCGCTAGATCTCGCGCGGACGCGTTGTGGGGCGAAGGCTCCGCACTGAGGGGCGTCGCCCCACTGCCGGACGAAATGGAGGCGCTTTTCACGTGAGTTTTGCCCCCGGAGGCCCCCGCGCCCGCCCCAGCGCCGGGAGCCGCCCCCTTCTCACTCCCGTTACCTCCCCCCGCCCCGTTCTTAGCCTCTGCTTGCGTCGCACTGTCGCGCCGTAAAATTGCATGCTGTTAGTCTTAAATAACTTAACATCTCCCCCCTCATATTAGTTCCCACATGCTTGTTCCGAGACGCATAATATAAGTTATAATATAAAGAATATACATGTTAGTCAATGATATACGTGAAATATATAACATACATAGATGAGTAGAATATACATATGAAAACAAATAATTATATACTTAATATTAATAGTGAATATGGATCTTTAAGTAACATAATATGCGACATAATATTATCATAAATGGATAAATATTTTTATTTAAAATGTTTATCATCGTTTTCGTAGATACAATTTCATTGAGGAATTCATAATTCTATTTCACTGTCGCTTATTTTACGTATATTTATAATGAAATGAAAATACAAAGTACTTCAGGAAACTTTGTAGTTATTTTTATAAATATTCTAGAATTTACTTCTATGGTCCATCGAGCCAGGAATATTTATAATTGATGATGTATAAAATTAAATTAACTCTGATAAAAATTAAGCCTTAACAACGATATTATTGCTTACAATTTCTGAAGCTAATTAACATGTTTTAATAGAATAGGAGGACAAAGAGAGTCCATTTGATAGTGAGTGATTGCTGTGGCTCATGGACATCATCTATCTTTAACTAAGAATCAAAATGCAGATGTATTGTCATCTGCGCAAACTATTCTTAGCTGCCTTCTAGAATGCTTCACTTCTAGTAAAAAGGTTCTCTTGTTCTCCACATTCACCATACAAAACATAGCAACATTAAACTGTTATTTTACGTTGGTATGTAGGGTTCGTAGTAATTTCCCAGTTGAGTCGGCCCATTTGTGCTATTATAATTATAATATAGCTTCAGTGTGGTTAAAATACGTGTAAAATTTTGTTTGTGGTCAAAATAGTACATTTGAAGAATACGTTCATGTCAGAGAATAAAAATATTTTAAATGTATATGAATTCAGTCAACACGAACTAGAGTAGTCTAAGAAATGAGAGCAGGACAGCGCCCAGTACCCATGGTTTGGTAATGCATCATTTAAGTTTTTGTTTCATTATTATATTAATGATGTTTATGTACTGCTTAATAATTGTTAATGCAAGCAGTCTTAGGCCTCGTTTCCACCTGCAGGAACAGTCGCGGAAGTCTTCCATAAATTTCTTGTAATATTGTTTACATATTGTATGCGTTCTTGCAATTTTTTTCTGCAATATGTCCTAAGAAGCTCAAAAATCATACTATAGCAACTTATCGTAGCGGCATTTACACATGAAAGTATAGATGTTGCGATGGCTATGGCAATTTAATTTAGAATATTGTTGCAGGTGAATATACGGCCTTAGACTGGTGCATGCATATTTTGTCCCTTGCATTTAAATTTTTTGAAAATAAATAAGTAAAATGTGTGTAGAATGTTGAGTGTGTGTTCAAATATATAGTTGTTAGTTTATTACCTGGGAGTGTCGTTGGGCGGGGAGAGCTTGGCAGGCGTGGGGTGCGTGGGATGCGTGGGGTGCGCGGGGTGCGCGTGGGCGTGGGCATGGGCCGGCGCGTCCAGCGCAGCGCGCCGCTGGCCGCCCGCCAGCGTGCGCGAGCGCGGCTCCAGCTTGGGCTGCGCACTGCTGGGCCGCGTCGTGTTCTGCACCTGCAATGTACACAGCACACATCAAAAACGAAATGTAAAAACACAAAAGGTTCCCTACAATAACAAAAATATGCCAGTTTACAACAATGATGTGGAATAGCAATTTCAATACGAGGGTGCACACACTACGCACATTTTTTAATGAAATCAGTACACCATTAGACGTTATACAATAAATATATATATATATATATATATATATATATATATATATATATATATATATATATATATATATATATATATATATAATTATCTTTGCTATAGTAACTATGTTCGGATTTCAAATATTAAATATTTTTCATACCGTCTGTATGTTCCTTGTTGCATGTAGTTCCACTTAGGATCAACGGTGTTACTAGAAAACCCTTGTGCTTTTAGCTATGTTTATAGTTATTGTCGATTTACAATAAAAAAACTAACCCTACCAAATTGATACTAAGCTATTTTTCTCATACTTTTTTTATAGGAAACAGTCGCAAATGAGCAAGCAGTTCACCTGAAGGTCAACCGCCGCTCATGAACAACTTCAACATCAACGAATTTGCCGATGCGTTGCCGGCCTTTTAAAAAAGACTCTAATTTCTGATGATGTTAATGCTGTTAACTTTTTGGCTTTCACAGTTTCATCAGTCTCAGAGCCTGCGGTCTCTCAGGCCGCGAGCTATAAATAGGTGAATTTAAATAATTCTACATCGTTACTAGCGTAACGACTCCTAGAGCAGTGTATGGTGCACGTGGTGGGCCCCAGCTCTAACGGCCAACTTCTTTTACGTGGTAGAGCCATGCTGCAGTTATATTAGTAGTATAGTTGTAGCACGAATGGGTCGGCTCGACCGGGGAAGTACGACGCTCTCACAAAATACCAGCGTCAAATAGTAGCTAATGCTGCTGTGTTTCGTATGGTGAGTGTAGAGAACGGGAGACCCTTTTTACTGGAAACGAGGCATCAAGTCCTCACGGATGTCAACGCATCTGCATTTTGATTCGTTATCGAGGATAGATGTAGATGTCTATGGGCCACAGCAACCACTTACCATCAGGTGGACTGTGTGCTCGTTTGTCATCCTATCCTATAAAAAAAAACTTATGTCGTTGACTTTCTGGGCGGTGAGAACCGGCCAGAGACGCGGGTGTACTGTGTACGCAGTGTGCAGGTGTGCGGCGAGCCCGTCAGCGGAATCACTGCATCCCATCCGTTTAAAAAAAGAGTAAGATCGTTTCTAGAAGGTTTAAGTTATATTGGTTTGAAAAAATTTGCCAGTGGTAAAAGATTCCACAAATAAGTCGTGCCACTTATAAATTTATGCATAGTTCAAAAACCATTATACGTAATTGAATTTCGTTTACAAACATAGAACGCTGTACCGTGTTCGTTTTAACACTTATTATTTCGTCGCTACCCCATATAAAGTTACGTACCTGCATCTGAGCAATTCGCGCCGTATTCTCTTTGATGGACGCTGAATCGATTGTATTCTGTAAATTTTGTTAAAAAATTATAAGTATTTCAACAATAATGCTACTAAAATCAAACGCTCAAGTAACAAAAAAATATTTAACTGTACGTATAATTTTGATTAGTTTAGGTAATCAATCATACACAAAAAAGGGAATGATTTGCTAATCGAAACAAAACCTTATTACAATCTACTAGAGTATAATTACACTTTCGTATTACATTATCGTTTATAGTATAGACAGAATTAAAATATAATTTTGATACAATACCTGTCTTTTAAAGTTGGATGTGGTTGTGGTCGCAGTGGACGTAGTGTTGTTCGCGGCGCTGGTGGTTGTGCCCACTGTAAGCCCAAAACGCTACATTACATATCATCCGCTTCGCTTGCTTCCAATGCTTCGCGTACTTTCACGCGCTTCTAAGCCCAATAATTAGTGTTAGACACGATTGTGCTGCGAAGCTTTCGAAAACCGACAAAACTATTTTTTGATTCTAACTAAAACATTTATATAAATATGATACTATATCTTTTTAACTTTGAGAGTAACGTTCTCAAGTTTTGACAAAAATATATTATCTTTTGTTGAAACAACTTATTGCGTTTAATTTTTTGTTAAAAGCGGAAACTCACAGTACTAAAAGCGAATATTAAATATAACAACATGCATTAATTATAAAATTATTATAATTCAGTAATAACGGCGTCTATACAACTGAATTCCTGGATCATTATTCGTTTCTATATAAAAATATTTTATACATAATTATTATTTTTTATATATATATATATATATATATATATATATATATATATATATATATATATATATAGTATCTATAACACCTCATTGTCGCCGCTACTGCCTTAACGTTCCAGGTACTCAATTGATAACTACTGTCAAATAGCTTTCCAGCTTTATTTGATAAATATTTGGATATGAATATTAAGGATAATATTAAGGATATATAAGGATATGAATAGGATACCTAACATACATATACCTTGCAAGAATATTATGGAAATATAACTAAGCTTTTTTTAAGTAACAATAAACATAATATTAAGCCAAAGTAATGGTGGGAAAATATATGGAACACCTGTATTTGAGATAGGATTAAAAGGAGGATAATATTTTAAAAATTATCAATGAAACGAAATTGAGACAAATATGGAAATTTTACTTACTATATCAAAATATTATCGAAATTTTGTTGCTATTTCAGTCATTTAATTGTTTAGATTGAAGGAAATTTAATTGTAATCAATAATTAAAATGTTATAAATTGTACTATAAAATAGCCATCGCGTAATTATTATTTGAAAAATAAGAATTAAGACGGTTTATTAAATTCGTCTGAAGCACAATATATCGCTATTGGTTGAAAGAACCAGAAGTTCTTAACAAACATGAGAATAGTCTATACCGATTACGTAGCATACGCATTACACACACACACAAGCCAAAAATTCACACACGTCACAATAGGTGTAGAGAAACTCAAGAGTTTACTATATAAAAATCATGCACGTTGAAGTTTAAAAAAGGACAAATTGACGCATGTAAGTAAGCTACAAGTAAATAAAGAAAAAAGAATAAATGCGAAAGTGTGCATTTGTATAAATATAACGGATGCATCGAACATTATTAAAAGAAAACGATTCAGGAAGTTCTTTAAAACAAAACAACAGATGAACTCTATAAAGTAGATTACATGCAACAATCAAGAACCCGGGTAGATCATGCTTGTGAAAAAAAGGGCAAGTGCAGGGTGTAGGGTGGTAGGTGCAAAGTGTTACTGGTGGATCAACGAGAGTAGATTCTGAGGAGATAAGGGGAGGTACCATCATCATCTTGAACATCTTTTTGAGATAGTACTTTGAATCTAGTGTTTTTGAGATAATATTTTGTTTGCATGTAGTATGGCATTGTAAAGAATTTAATATAAAGTTTGCCGTGCCTTTGTCACCGGAATTCACTTTTTAACAATCCAATGACGATGAAATGCGCTGAAGTATTTGACCAAAAAATAATGAATAATTACGTACTTCAATATTTAACACTAGTTTTCATTGGCTGGAAAATAATACCAACTGTTTTTTAAATTATTTCGACACCGACGTCTCAAAACAATGAGATGGTACATTGTTAAAATCTTTAATAAGAATGGATATATTTATATTTTTTTTTACATTGTAGATACTAATAGATATATAAAAAATAGTAATTCATGGTGGAGAAATTAACTTAGTAGTGAAAGTTTTTGTAAACGGCGAGACATTTGTAAATTGTTAATGTATTAGAAGCTCGTTAATAGACATGTGTCAATCATGAATGATTCGTTCGTTTGAGCTGGTATATACATTTAAAAGTATTTATGGTTCATTCATCTATTTTTGAATGTTCCGGTACAACCAATCACAAACAATTGACGGAACGTTTTTAAAACGTGATTAGTGTAAATTGTGAATGAGCCGAAAATCGACCAAATACCGAATGATCTGATTGAATTGTTTTAGTGTAGGTTACTTGAGCCCAAAATGATCAATTTGAATGATCGATCTGAATGTACCGGTACGCGTGACGAAATGTACTAGAATGATTCGGTCACGAGAAATGAATGACACATGTCTACTAGTTAACAATAATGTTAGTTGTTGGGAGAGGACTGTGAATGGAGTGGGGCGTGCAAATGGATAGGGGGATGGATGTGGATTGTTGGAGCTATATGCTCGCGAATTGGTGGTTTTGGGAATTCACGTACTATGACCATTTAGCGTGTAAAAGATGAGGAAGTATGAGAATAATAGTGATTTAGTTGTTGGGAGAGGACTGCAAATCGAGTGACGGTAGGAGCTCCGCTCCCAATAAGCAGATGTTTATTTACGTGGTAGAGCCATGCTGCAGTTCTATTAGTAGTATAGTTGTAGCACGAATGTGTCGGCTCGACCGGGGAAGGTCCACGCTCTTACAGAATACCTGCGTCAAATAGTAGCTTAATGCTGCTGTGTTTCGTATGGTGAGTGTAGACAACCGGAGACCCTTTTTACTGGAAACGAGGCATTCCGTCTTAGTCCTCACGGGTGGCAACGCATCTGCATTTTGATTCGTAATCCAGAATAGATGTAGATGTCTATGGGTCACAGCAACCACTTACCATCAGGTGGACTGTGTGCTCGTTTGTCACCCTATCCTATAAAAAAAATGTGGAGGAATTTGCGCGTTTGTGGAAGTTCAGAGATATAATTGTTGTTAATAAATTTTTTAAATGTGTATAGGATATGGGAGTAGGAGGACAATAGTGTAGTACTAACTGGAACAGGAGTGCAAGTGGAGTGGGGGTTAAAAGAGTTTCGCTTCCATTAAGCGGAAGTGAAGAAATCCGCGACTGTTGAGGTTCAGTCATTTGACAGTTGTGGAGTTTGTATGTGATGTAAGAGTAGGAAGATAATCGCGTATTAGTTGTTGGGAAAAGACTGCAAATAGAATGACGACAGAAGAAAAAATTTTGAGGAGGATAGCTACACTTGTGATAAGCCAAGTGGAGGAATTCACAGTTATTGAAGTCCAGAGACTCGGTGGTTTTTGGGTGTGTATGTAAGGACAATAGTATGTTAGCGGTTGGGTGAGGATTACATATGGAGTGGGTGTTGGAGGAGCTCCGCTCGCGGTAAGCAAAGTGCAGAGACTACAATTGTTGAGTACGTTTGGGATGTAGGAGAAGAAGGACAATAGGTAGCTAGTTTTTGCGACGGAACTTCAAATGGAGTAAGAGTTGAAAGAAACTTGCGATAAGCAGGTGTGATTTAACGGTTGCTGGGTGTGTACGGTATGTTGAAAAATAATAGTGTGTAAATTGTTGGAACAGGACTGCAAATGGAGTTGCAGAAGCTTCCTTCGTAATAAGCGTTAGTGACCTATGGTTATTGGGCTTGTATGGAATGTGGGAATAGGAAGATATTCGTGTGTTTTGAGATCGGTACAGTTGGAGTGGGCGTTGGAGGAACTTTGTTCGCGATAAAAGATAGTGGATGAGATGGTGGATTTGAGTGGAAGTTAAGACTTAACGATTGTTGAATGTGTATAGAATGTGAAAGTAGGAGGATAATAATGAGTTGGCTGTTGGGAGGAGATTGTAAATGGGACAAATTTGAATAGGGGCAGGAGGAGTTTCGCTTGCGATAAGCGGAAGTATTCGCGGTTGTTGAAGTCCAGGGACTTGATAGTTGTTGGGTGTTTTTTTTTTATAGTATAGGGAGACAAACGAGCACACAGTCCACCTGATGGTAAGTGGTTGCTGCGGCCTATAGACATCTACATCTATCCTCGATTAACGAATCAAAATGCACATGCGTTGTCATCCTTGAAGACTAAGATGGAATGCCTCATTTCCAGTAAAAAGGGTCTCCGGTTCCTTACACGCACCATACGAAACACAGCAGCATTAAGCTACCTTTTTACGCTGGTATTGTGTGAGAGCGTGGTCATATACGTCTAATATAACTGCAGCATGGCTCTACCAAGTATAAAACGTGGGTATGGGAGGGCAATAGTGTGTTAGTTGTGGGGAGAGGAGTGAGGGCTGGAGGAGGTCCAGGTCGGTGCGCGCGGGCGCGGTACCTTGCGCGCGCAGCACCTCGGCGCCGGACGAGGCGCGGCGCGAGGCGGCGGGGCGCGCGGAGGCCGAGATGCTGCGCTGCACGCCGCGGTGCCCGGGCGACCCGCACGCGCCTGCGCCATACGCCGTAAGTCACTGCCGCACACTACTCCCCACCTCCCCACCTCCCCACCTACACCCCGACACTACCCCACGCACACCCGCTCACCCACCGACTTAAACCCGCTTACACTGTCAACCCGCTATTCTCAAGCGGTCCCTACAATGGCTACCAACAAAATAATATCTTTATAATGTATATTTTTTACAGCCTCTACAATTTTCTCGTTTTCTTTTACTTTTTTTTTATTAACAAAGGATAAACCTATTAAATGTTACTAAGAAAGTCATGGACCTGGGCAGAAATAAATTCGTTCATTCATTCATTTATACTGTCAACATGCTGATCCCATAACTATCCCCATTAAATTCAACTCAAATAATTACTGTGATATTTTTTTAATATACATATTCTTTTTATATTCTTAATTACTATAATGTTTTCGTTTTAAAGACCTATTGATTAATAATATTTTAATATTGACTGTCAAAAACCTACAAACGCCTCTTTATACGCCTAACTGCCAAAGTCCTTCAGTTCCCCACTAAATACAGTGTCATCTTATGACCATGTTAGAAACAATGTTGCAAAAACTCACCGCAAATAAACAAAACAAGAGCGGGGTGTTAAGTTGTGCGTTATCTTAACTAACTAGACCAAAACATTTTTTTCATTTTTCTACTTTCTTTAAACTTTTTTTTTTAATTACCAAGAATGTTTTACATCACTGTGGCTTTATAGCACTATACATAGCACTGGATTTGTCATGTTTTATTCCTTAACATTTTTTTTTTTCAAACAAATCACCATAATATACTACTTTTAAAGGTATTAAATAAAGTAATATCAATATAATCCAGGCTTAACTAAAGCAGTTCGCCCAAGGAAGGGGGGGAATAGTTGTGACGGGTGGACGACATATCAAGCACACATAATATACAGTAAAAATAAAAAGCATAATCACAAAATGGAATTCATGTGACAATAGATACAAAATACAGTCTTGACAATCATCAGTCTTAAAAAAATCAAACATCAATTTGTAGATTAGATGCAAAGGAAATGTCAAGTCACTGTCATTCTAAAACACACTCATTGCAAACATTCAGAAAAAGTATACTACAAAGAGTGAAAGGTAAGGGGAAGTAGAGTGAGTTTCACACGAAGTCTTGAAAATACCTATATCTATCTAAATGATCTATTTTTTCAACGAGCATCGGCGAATGACATCTAACTGACATTTGCTTTCGCGTCAAAAATGACAATGGCGGAACGTCACTTATGGTTGTCAAGTACACTCGAAAAAATATTATATTCCCGATTAGGATAAGCTGTAAGCTCCCTCAATATTATAGCCCTATGCGAAGCTTTGTTACTTTTACTTTAATATAATTTCTAGTTAAATACAGCCTAATAATTTAGATAGAAGATGAGTCCTGAATGTGAGATAATATTAAAATATTATTACGTTCTAATACGCAAAAAGCTAAAGTAGTTAACTATGTCTTCAATAAACAAAATGCGTGATTTTCGACAGTTCAAAAATAAGGTCGACAAATTATAATAGTCGAAAACAAAGAACTATCTTTGATTTAATAAATTTTGTACTAAGACAAACTAAACATGTTTGATTTATTTAAATTCCACAACAAAAAATGCAAAATAATATTATTTTGCAATACTTTTAAAGTTACTTATACAGTGGATAAAATTGAATGCCTAAAACATAGAGAATGGACTGAGAGGTTGTTCAGAAAATTAATGATCAAATAGATAAATAGAATGAAAGACTCTTGTATATAACTTAATGTAGCTTTTATTTATTCACTAAATATGTAATGATTCTCAATTTCAAAAGGACTCAGATAACGGACTTATTTAACGAGTGGTAAGATATAGCCTCAAACTCTTTTTAACATAAAAAAATCTCGTCTTACACATCAATATAATGTAAACTTCACGCTACCTACATATTGTGACAAAAATATGAACACTACAAATAATTAAGTTTATATTAAAACTAGCCATCATCTAAAAAACGTATCTTTTGTGAATTGTGGAGACAGTTCTAAAGAGAGGATAAAAAGGCCAGAGATTTAGGGAGTAATAAATTTTATTGACAGCATGTTCCGAAACCCTTAGTCCTTTCTCAATGTATAAAATACTAAATGTGTGTGCGCGTTTGTGTGTGTGTGCGCGCGTGCGCGTGTGGTGTGTGTGTGTGTGTGTGTGTGTGTGTGTGTGTGTGTGTGTGTGTGTGTGTGTGTGTGTGTGTGTGTGTGTTTGTGTGTGCGTGCGCGTGCGTGCGTACATACCGGCGTGCGAGTTGGTCTGTTGCTGTTGCGGTTGAGGTGCGGCCGCGTTGCGAAGAGACAGCGACGAGCCCGACCGACTCCCGTCTGACTCCGGCTGCCAAATACAAACATCGTCTACATCTGTATTCTCACAAGTAAATGAGATATTAAGAAATATTTTTTTATAGAATAAGGGTGAAAAACAAGTACACAGTCCGCTTCATGGTAAATGGATGCTGTGGCCCATAGACATCTACATTTATCCTCGATTAAGAATCAAAACGCAGATGCGTTGTCTCCCCTGAGGATTAAGATGGAATGACTTGTTTCCAGTAGAAAGGATCTCGGGTTCTCTACACTCACCATACAAAACACAGCAGCATTAATTACACACACATTAATTACAACAGCAGTTATTTTAAACTGATATTTTTTTTATAAAATGAGGGTGACAAACGAGCACACAGTTCATCTGATGCTAAGTGGTTGATGTAGCCCATAGACATCTACATCTATCCTAGATTAAGAAACAAAATGCAGATACATTGCCACCCATGAGGACTAAGCTGGAATGCCTCCTTTCCAGTAAAAAGGGTCTCCGGTTCTCTACACTCACTATACGAAACACAGCAGCGTTAAGCTTCTATTTTATGCTGGTATTCTGTAAGAACGTGGTCCCTCCCCGATCGAGACAACCCAATTGTGCTATAACTATATTACTAATATAGCTGCAGCATGGCTCTACTATGTATATATTTACTCGTATTCTGTGAGAGGCATGGTTCTTTTCCAGACGAGCCGAGGCAATTGTGCTACAATTATAATATTAGCTGCTGGGTAGCTCTACCACATACAATAAGTATCATATTTCGTTCATATTTCAATGAAAAATGCAAAAAAGATCTTAATGAGTGCCTTCGATAAGTTGTGGTAAAATAGCTCGCGTTTCTTGATAGAGTAAGTTCAAAAAAAGATAAAAACTCACATCGGTGCTTTTCCTTCCCAACAGTAAATACGTAGCGAAGACATCGTCGTACTTCGCTTCGGCCAATGAATACTCGATCTCTTGCCTATTATAGCCTAAGCACACTAGCGCCTCTGCGGAAACAAAAAGAAACATTAGTAGCTCTATCCCTTTAAGAAATCGTAAAGTAATGAACATGCATTTATGTACGAAGGAAAGTAATAAAAGGAGAGTAATACTGTCCCTACGTTCCCAATACTGTATCGATATATAATTATATAAACAAATAGCATTTATGTTCTGGAAAGATTAAATAATATCAACTAAGCAACACCTGTAATTCATTGCAAGTGTTAAGCAGTGAACTACCGCTACTGTTGTGATCATTACAGATTGTACTGGTTGCAATAATACTATTCCTTGAAGTATTTTACAGTTGTTTACACGTAAATAAAATATATATCTAGCACTACATAAGGCTACAATCTACAGTATGATATTCTAATGAATAATCAAAATTGTTGCGCTTTATTATATATGGACTATCCATTGTCCAATAACAAAGTGCAGCTATTTACGTTGTAACTGTAGCTTATTGTAAGTATATGCTCTCACGCAAAACATAAGCATCTAAAATCGTTTGCAATTAACACCATGGCAACCTGAACCGCCGCGCCGGCGGATTGTTGCTCCTGTATTATTGTACAACTTGGCCAAAACAATTGGGCAATATGACAGGAATACGGTTTCGGCATCCGCAACCTGCCTCTATCCCCGCGCTTACCCTAGTGACGTTTTGGCTGTCATGCGCCTAATTGTTTTGGCCACGTAGTATAAATGATAGTTTGAAGTGGCTTTCACTACGTAATAGTGATGCGATTTTGTTCGTAACGTGTTTGCACTTGTAATTTATTGATGAAAACGATGAAACAAAATCTTCCATGGGGATGTGAACTTTAAGATAATGCCTGCACCTTCAAGTACTATCGTCATCGGTTGTCTGCTAGCTCAAGCTACCGTCATTCTCCCAAAAACTTCACAATATATCTCATCAACATATTATGAAGATGTTTTTAAACAATTTATTACAAAGGATAATTTTTTATCACTTGACACTGGCAAAAGTACAACAGTACGAGGCCATTGCCAAAGAAAAAAAAACATCAAGTTTTTAGGTGCTTATTGGGTCGCACATATATATATATTTATATATATATATATATATATATATATATATATATATATATATATATATATATATATATATATATATATATATATATATATATACAGTGGATTTTACAGGATTTTAAAGAAAAAGTGCGTGTCAAGAAACTGAGCAGTTTCAGCGTCGCTTAAAATGTCCGCAGGGCTCTGCCTAAGAGGGCAACTAATAATTTTTCCTACAATTAGAAAAAGAAATCCATTTAGAAACTGTTTTTACCAAGCCATATGAAATAAATAATATTATAAAAATGTTGGACAAAATAGATAATAGCAATATACATTCTCATCTATTACTATTTTAATGAAAATATAACATAAAAATGAACATGCATATAAAAGCTATAATATAATACAATTCTGTCTCATCGGAGGCGCGTATCAATATCTGTCAATAAAAATAGTACAATACATATATCTAAGCGAGCACAAACGCATGTTGATTCTGACAGATCACGTCAATGTAATAATACCAATAAACGGTACGCGTCTCAGAATTTTTTCAAGAAAAATCCTTGTACGTACAACAAGACAGAATTCACGTAGATCCCATAACAAACATCGCAAAACGTAGATAAAACTAAACAATTTCGCGTCGGGTCACATACCAACTTGCGCTGTGCCGTTTGGAGTACGCATGAAATATAAGAAAATAGTTAAATATCTTTTCGACTAAGCAGAGACATGACATATACAGATATGATATTGAAAAATAGTAATATAGAAAAATTATCTAATAAAAATACTATCGAATTTAAAAGTAGAGTACAAAAAAACGCACGTGTCTTATAGATTACTGATAATTTTTTTATGATATTATATTATTTTAATAATTATAAGTAAATAATATTATTGTAGTAGCTAGTAGTATGTTTTCTAAATGCAGTATAACAAATTCATCTACAAAGACTTTGTTTTCAAATCCCTTTTTTTCTTATTCCTTTAGTCTCCGCTTTATTTTGTATCAAATAAGATAATGATAAACTATTAACTTTGCCACAAATGCATGACGTAATTTACATAAAAAAAAACACACTGTATCTATATATTTCATATGACTCAAGTAAGCGCGTTAACAAAAATGTAGGTCTCCCATTTGCCTGTGCTATCAGTTCAACTGTAACGTTTGAACATATTGTTGGAGGTGTTATTTGTAACGTTAGCATAGAAAGCATTATTAGCTAATTGACTTTGTTAGGCTTTGTGTTTTAAAAGGTTTTGTGAAGATACTTTGAACAAATATAAAAATACAAAATTAGTGCTATATCTGAAGAATTGATGTAATAATTAGATTTATTGTAAAATTTCAATGTACATAAAAATTCAAGTTTAAAATTTAATTAAAAACTGTAGAAAAATAGGTTATTATAATATAAAGGAATACATGAATGAAAATGACTCCTAGATATTAAGGTAATCGCTATCAGGCTAATAATAATCAATACAAATGACTATATAATGGCTATTGTATTATCTTTATATATAAAAATCAGTTACAGTCTACCTATTTTGATGATTTTTGTGTGTATTTGAGTGAGTCCCTGGATGGTATAAAAACTCAATTGGACCCCATAGTGAACCTAAATAGGAACATAAAACAACTAAGAACATTGATGTTACAATATTGCAAATAGTATGTTTAAAAAGTTCAGCATTGATTGTTAAAGTAAACTAAACTTCGACTAGTTTTGTTGATCGTACTTTCCGGTATTAAAACATTTTGGACGGGGCGATATTAGGGTAAAGGTGTTTTGTTTGACAGTAAGAACTGACTGAATACTCACACAATCGAACTATAAACGGTTAAATCAAAAATAAACCTCACTATACGTAAGACATAAATTCGATTAATTTCTAAACCAACTAAAGTTCAGTTTCTCAAATTTCGAATTGAGCTTTTCCAATAACATAAAAATGTAGCAAACTCACCTATCCGTTTATGGTCCTTGAAGTCTTGCTGCGGTTCGATGTAGGGTCTGAGCTCGTCTTCCTCGTACCCCGTGTTCATCCACTTGTCCCGCATTATGTTTTCGAGTGAGGCTCGCTTCGCCGGGTTCAGTACCAGGAACTTTTTAAGGAGGTTTTCACAATCCGTCGACATGTAGAACGGTATTCTGAGGGATAGGGTCAGAAGTTAATGTTTTAATGTTGCAGCACAATTAGGTCGGTTCGACGGTGGCAGGACCGCACATGCATATAATACCAGCGTTAAATTACAGCATTATTCTTCTGTTTTTTTTTTTTCAAATAAAATTAAACTTACAGCCCACCTGATGCTAAGTGGCTACTGCAAACCTATTGTAATTAGACATGTGTCATTCATTCACTTCTAGTGACCCGATCATTCAATTATTGATTCGCTTTACGAAGCGGGTCATTCGTCTCGATCATTCAAATGGATCATTTCGAGTTTCGGAACTCGGTGATCTGTGAGACCCAATCGATCATATTGGTTGTAGGGCATTAGATTAGTCTTCGTAGATCCTGTCAATAGTTTGATACGGAATGTTCAAATAATTTAATAGGAGTCATCAATATATTGATGCGACCTGGGTAAAATGAACGAATCATTCACGATTGACACATGTATATCTGTAATTATACTGGCTCTAAGTCCTTCAGACCAGAACACCATAATATAGCTGCAGCATAGCTTTACCTCAACAAAAATGGAATCCCATAACCTATAACCTGTGCTTCGTATGACGAGTGACAATGATCGGGGCCCTTCTAATGATAATAAGGCATTCATTATTATTGAAAAGCGTTTCCACATTGCATGATTGATTGAGTTACATGTATGTAAATTTATTTTGTAACGTCAAAATAAGAAAGAATAAGAGTATATACTTGGTGTCTCTAAGGCAAAAGGGGATAGTCAGTGCGCTTCCCCGCTTACCATCAGGTGGTCAAGCACTCGCTTATAATAAATTTCAAAAAAAGTAATAGATTTCAAGAAAATGTCACCTCACCTATATTTGCCACGAAGTACCCTTTCCCTCAATTCCCTCAGTGTAGAGCCATCAAACGGTAGCGATCCTGATACCAAAGTATACAGGATCACACCCAGCGACCAAACATCAACCTCCGGACCGTCGTATTTCTTGCCTGTAACCAAACATGTCATTATTATAATATATTCTTTATTGCACCAAAATTCTCTACACAAGGCGAACTTAAGGCCATATTGCATTGTATATTTTACTTTGGTCTATTTGGGTAGATCAGAGAGTGATTATGGACTGTAGATAGATGGAATAGTTGGTATGTAAACATTCATTAAAGACAACGCTTCTTACTTCATGTAAGAAGCGTCCTCCATCCATGTAATATATATTGTTAAACATAACATATTTATTCGTAGTTATTTGTATGTACTAATAATATGTATATAAATATGTGTATATATGAATGTACAGCTTATATTTGTACAGTTTATTTATTAGTTAAATATGTATTTTAACTAGTTAATTATAATTTTTTTTATCACCCACACCTACGTCAAATTCTCACCACTCCATGGGTTGACTGGTAGAGAATGCCTCAAGGAATTAAGTCTACCCTTTGTATTCTTTTGTTTTAAAGAATGCAATAAAGAATAATTAAACAAAATTGTATTCTTTCTGTTTCTCCTTTCTCGCTATAGAGTTAGAACAAACTTAAGTACCTTGAAAGAGCTCCGGCGCCGCGTAAGGCGGACTGCCGCAGAAAGTGTCCAGCTTCGAGCCAGGTGTGAATTCATTCGAAAAACCGAAATCTGCTATCTTGATGTTCATTTCGCCGTCCAGTAGAAGATTTTCCGCCTGGAAGTTAATAATATTGAATATATTAATTATTCATTCCTCTATTTTAATCGAAACTACACCACAATACGGCACAAAAGCAAGTTATTAATGATTCTAAAAATATACTGGTTTCTTTAATATTAAGGGTTAAATTTAGCATTAAATTATTATAAGTTGACGTTATAATGTGAACTTTAATTAAAAATTATATAGTGTAAATGAACTATGTTTTTATCATAAACTTCAAAATTACATTGTTTGTTAAATAACGAACTGTCCGGAACCCAATCTTTCGGTCTAAAAAATATGTTACCCCACTAGGAATTTCTCCAGTATCATGGAAGCATTTTCCATACATAAATCGCACACGGAAAAACATCAAACATGAAAGAATTATAATATCCAGGTCATCGAAATAGTTTTTTACGTGGTAGAGCCATGCTGCAGTTATATTAGTAGTATAGTTGTAGCACGAATGGGTCGGCTCAACCGGGGAAGGACCACGCTCTCACAGAAAACCAGCGTCAAATAGTAGCTTATTGCTGCTGCGTTTCGTATGGTAAGTGTAGAGAACTGGAGACCCTTTTTACTGGAAACGAGGCATTCCACGTAAGTCCTCACGGATGACAAGGCATCTGCATTTTGATTCGTAATCGAGGATAGATGTAGATGTCTATGGGCCACAGCAACCACTTACCATCAGGTGGGCTGTGTGCTCTTTTGTCATCCTATTCTATAAAATAAAAAAAAGTTGTTCTGTGTGGGATTCGAACTTGTGGCCCGCAGCGCCACAGCCAAATGTTCAGCCACTTCGCTACAAAGATCAAGTTAAACTTACACTATTAATTTTCTATCACTGACCTTGAGATCCCTATGTATGATCCGCTTCTGATGACAATACTGTACTGCGGAGACAATCTGACGGAACTTGGCCCGCGCTTCTTTCTCCTTCATACGGCCGTGTAGTACTAGGTAGTCGAACACCTGCAGACAACATTGTAACATTGATCATCACCATGATCGGCCAACACATAGTCCACAGCTGTGTAAAATTATTTCATTATTAATTGGGAAAATTTTTGATTAAGTTTTAAGTATAAGTTGAGGAAATTTTTGAGCATCAACAAACTTAGGTTTTAACGACATCCCCTAGCAGGGAGGCGGCGGTAGGGTGTAAGCCCTTGAATTATGATTACACTGTACGCATGGAAACAGAAACGGAAACTTTTTTTATTCAATTAGAATTATAAATAATACTTATTGAAAGTCACTTTTTTTCATTACCACTGGTTCGCAAAAAAACTTCTGTCCTGGGAAGAACCAGCAAGAAACCCAGCGGGACTAATTAACAGCTTACAATCATGTATGTTACACTTAACAGTATAAAGTTTTGAACTTTGCGTATGTCAAATTTTGTATATTTTCTGGAATTTTGGTGTAAAAACCAAAAACCAGTTTTGATCCACGCCGGCATCAAAAAAGTTGTTAATTGCAATTATAGGGGCAGATTCACCATTAGGTGGTGGGTTTTATTCTCTGCCTAGAAGTTCATCTGGGTGGATGCTACAATTTTCTGCAGCCAAACGGCAGTACAAGAAGTGGTCAGAAGCGCATAGAGAGCTGGTATGATAACAAGTTGCAAGATATTCCATCTTAGTCCTCAAAGGTGTCAGCCTTCTTTATATAAAGTTGGTTGCAGATGAGGAAGGGCCGTAGCAGCCACTTACCATAAGAATATTTACACTTCGACAAGTACAATAACATAGTTTAGTTACAGGGCAGTCGACAGTAAACGGTTAAGTGGACAATAGCGTTCACATGGTCATGGTAGAAAGAATGAACAAGGAAAGAGTGACAAAGCAAATTTATAGTGCAGATGTGAACGGCAGAGTCGGGAAGGAACGCCCTAGAAGAAGGTTCATCGACCAAATTGTCGATATTTTGAAAATGGGCCACATTAGGAGTACACTTAACCGACGAGCGTGTATGCGTAGATATATGGATGTAAAGGAGGCGAAAGATGTGTGTCAGGATCTTACCAAGTGGAAGTCCGTAGTCTCTGCCTACCCCTCTGGGTGACAGGCGTGAGTATTTATGATTATAGCGTTCAAATACCTTCGTGGCGAGTTAAAGTACAACTTTATATTTTGAGGGTCGAACGCGAATACGTTGCGTCCTGTCAACTTATGCACTGAAGTAAACTCGCTAGTTCAGTCGCTCACACGAGCGGCAAGTTTTGCTGCGGGTAGCGAGAGACGCGCGGGAGGGCAACACTTCGAACTTGAATCGCCGAAAAATAGACCGGCCAGCTATCCCGTTCAACATAATTGTTAACTTGCTACTCAACTCACTAATTGCCGTTCAAACGAGATTTTCTACTAAACTCGCCAGGTTCGCAAGTTAACTCGCTACTGTACTTGTCGAAGTGTAAATCGGTCTTTAAGTGAACTCTAAGTTCGTTTGTCGATTAAATATTTTTTCAAAAAGTCAGTGGTGAGGAAAATTATCGTATGGAAAACTTCATATGTAATAAATTAAAGATATTACTTCATTATTGCAAGAGATACGATCATTTGCAACAGTCCTTATACTAAGCAGACAAATAGCATTAGCCAGTTTACAGTTACTTAATTGTAGCAATACAAATTCGAACCTAAAGATGTAGTGTAAAGTTTTATACGTATATTCATAAACCTTTACTAAATATATATGAGCAAATTATATGCCCGGTATTTTACTCCTTATGTACACGTATGGATTTTTCCGGCGATTCCGTACTATGTGGGTTACTTATTAGATAAAAGCAAACTAAAAACTTCAACTTACTTCGCCACCAGACGCATATTCCATTACGAGATATAACGTCTTCTCAGTCTCGATCACTTGGAACAGTTTCACAATGTTCGGGTGGTCCAGCATTTTCATTATCCGGACCTGAAAAAAAAAGTAGTTGTATTAAAAATAAGACTTTTTTAACTTCCCGCTTTAAAAATTAATAATTTTCAAAAGTATTTGGAGAATGCGAGTTCTCATCAGATCACCACGTTTTGAGGTCCTAGAAAGCTATAGCCATTTAAAATTTTCTAAAATATAATCGTTTATTTGACATAACTTTTGAATTTTTGAAAGTTATGGGCTAAAGTTATGGACCTACCAACCAGTTCTCAGATTTTTTCTGAATAAGAATCTCTTAATTCTTTCAGCAACCAAGAAAAAAAGTTTGTTTCGATTTGAAGAATATGGAATGTTTGTATAAAATGTCAGAAGTGCCATTGGATCTGAAGCCATTCTTACCATGATGAGTGTAGTTCTTATTTGCGTTTTTAGTGTATCGTGTATTATATGATTTCCCCATGTAAAAAAATGAGCTAGTATTATTTACTACGATGCATTACATCTAATTCAAAGGCCTTTTAGAAGGTGGATTGTAAGTTCGTTGGTTATTTAGTTCTATATAACAAAAATTAAAAAAAAAAACGAAACAAAAAGAGGTGATGATCTTCAAACGGTTCAACAGTTTTTCACGAAACATAGCAAAAAAAAAACTCGATTAAGACACCTTTCAAATGAAAAAAGGCTTAAATTTACATAGACAGACACACAGTAAGAGTACCCTTAACCGACGAGCATGTATGCGTAGGTATATGGATGTGGAGGAGGCGAGAGAGGTATGTCAGGATCGTACTAAATGGAAGTCTGTAGTGTCTGCCTACCCCTCTGGGTGACTGGCGTGAGTGTTTATGTTATGTTTTACAGACACACAGATACACACTACACTTTATACTACTACAATTTATAACACTCCTCTATTTTAGTCGGGGTTTATAAAAGGCCTAAACGTTCAGCAGAGCGCGGGGCGTGGCGCTTTGCCGTACAAAAAAAAAAAGTTAAAAAAATAACGTTACCTCTCTGAACAGCTTCTGTAACGAGCCAGGGTTAAGTTGGGTTTTGTCGATGATCTTGATCGCGACCTCCTTCCCAGTGGGGACATGTTTCGCCAGTTTCACCTTCGCGAAGTTCCCCTTACCGATTGTCTTTAGGAGTTTGTACTTGCCTGCAATTATTAATATCGATAATTTTAATTATTTGCCGAATAATTTCGGACATATTTGACCAAAGAGGCGTGATGATTTTTTAAATTAGGCAAACTGTCATTAATGCATTTTTAAAGGATATGGTAGTATCTAGTCTTAAATACGACGACTACTATTCTTTTTATAGTATAGGGTGACAAACGAGCACAGTCATAGTCCATCTGATTGTAAGTGGATGCTGTGGCCCATAGAAATCTATCCTCGATTACGAATCAAAATGCAGATGCATTGAAGATGCCATGAGGACTAAGATGGAATACCTCGTATCTAGTAAAGGGGTCTCCTGTTCTCTACACTCACCATACGAAACACAGCAGCGTTAAGCTACTATTTCACGCTGGTATTCTGTAAGAGCGTGGTCCTTTCCCCGGTCGAGCCGACCCATTCTTGCTACAACTATACTACTAAAATAAACTACTACATCTAGGTTTAATACATCAACTTTTTTATAGAAGGCTATGACTACGTATGGTGAATGTAAAGAATTGGAGACCTTTTCTACTCGAAACCAGGCTTTCTATCTTAGTTTTCAGGGGTGTCAAATTTGATTCTTAATTGAGAATAGATGTCGATGTCTATACACTTACCATCACGTGAACTATGAGCTCGTTTGTCATCGTTATACTAAAAAAAAGTTACAGCCTCAATAAGTCCCACAGCTGGAATCAGGCCTCCTCTTATTTACCTTATTTATTTATTTACACTGCTTTATATATATATATTTATATATCTTAATATATATAAATTACGTGTCACGTTGTTTGTCCGCTATCTATCCGCTATAGACTCCTAAACTACTTAACCGATTTTGATCAAATTTGGACACAGAGTGCAGTGTGGTCCAACTTGAGAGATTTAGTAATCTTATTAATTAACATTACTAATATTCCTTTTAACCACTCCTGGTAAGCTTGAAAATGCTTGTGTTAGAAGTGGTTCACGACAGTAGTCAAATGGCGGATTCGAACCCACGACCTTTTGAGTTCGCGATCCGCGCCCTGCCATTAGGCTACTGTCGCTTGGTCTGTCTGCCTGGTAAGCTACATTATAATATAATAAAATGTATTATAATAAAATGATATATGTTTGCAGTTGTGCGCGCATCACGGAAAAACTACTTGATAGATTTCAATTAGGTTTTCTAAGTTTTATTTTTTATACACTAGGCCCTTATCTAAAATTATTGCGATGACTTCATTTAAAATAAAGTTATTAAAACTTTTAAGAACGCGAACGAAGTCGCGACTATCAGCTAGTTTATAATATAACAAATCCTTGGGGGAATGCAAAAGGGTTAATATTAAATATGGCTGACACTGACCAATATGAGGCTCCTCTGAAGTCCTTGACCGGGAGGAGACCCTCGCACTGCCGCCAGCGGAGCCTCCGCCGCCTGCGGCCGCCGACGACTCCGACGCGCTCTGCAATACAAAACATTCAAATTAGCAATACGTTGATAGCAATTAGAATCTACTGAATAGCCGACAACTGCTGTTTTAAGTCTGGTTATTGTTAAACCCAGGAAGTTGGTTTTGCAGCAAGGACAGAAACTATGATAAACTTATTTAAGCCTAATCCAATATCAGATGAGCAATATGAAAAGACGTTGATAGGAGCTAAGCGTCACTACATTTTCTTGCAGTGAAGTCCTCTAAGAAAACCGAGGTGACATATAGGTACCGACTGATATTTTAATTTACTTAGCAATTTTTGAATACTAGAAAATATAAATAATTTTACGTAGGTATGTTTTAGCGAGTGAAATAAATTTCTCGAATTCAAGGATTACCTAGGCATATACGTGTTGATGACAATGTTCAAAATTGCCTCACGATTCCAATCTAGTATCCGAATCTAGACATTGAAGGGTGGAAATAGACCTTGAAATTTATAATTTGGAAAATTGGACCCACTGATAACTTCCTACTGACAAGTTAATAATAATATTTAGAAACCATCAGGACACCGGTTATTTTTATAGGATAGGGTGACAAACGAGCACACAGTCCCCCTGATGGTAAGTGGTTGCTGCGGTCCATAGACAGCAGCGTCTTCTTAGTAACAACTAGAAAACAAAAACTGCGGTTGCCAACCCGCCTGCCATGCGTGGCAACTATGGCAAATATCCTCTTTACGAGCATTCTATGAGTAGGCCTACGATCACTACGACTTTGATAGAATGTAATGAATGAATGAAAAAAAAGCGCTTGGTAGTAGGGGTGGGCGTTGCGACGATGAACCGGTTACAAAGACCGTTTTGTGTTCTGCGACGATGAAACCGTTTTATGTCTTGGGTTCAAATCGTCTTCGTTGCAAACAGTCTTCGAATCACTTGATGCGATTTTTTATTTTACGCCTACGAAAATACAGTCGAGAACGCAATGATTCAACTATCAATCTCACTCGTTACGTCGTCGTCCTTAACGTACCGCGTTTTATTGTAGTATTTGTTACCGCATTCGTTTACAAACGTTAGTATAGTCGAAAACCTTTGATAGTTTGACATTTCACTAGACGAAAACGCAATTCTATTCCATGTTGGATAAGTTTGGTCCTTTAAGTCGTCTTAAAACTAGTTGCAACGACAACCGTTTTCGTCATCGGGAAAACGGTTGCGTTTCGTTCGTCGAAAATTCGACAACGACCCACCACTACCTGGTGGAATGATAAGTTGACCACATTACCCAATTCTCCCTAACTTATACAATGTTTAAGATCAAAGAATTACATATTTAGAATATTTAAGGTATAGTAAATACTGTACTAAATAGGTCCTACTATGTTACAACGAGATGGTTTCTTTTTAACAGCAACAAAAATAAATACATTGTGGACCATACTAAGGACAAGTAAATACATAAATCCATTACGGATTCTAGTAATCGGTGAGTTGATGAAAGCGTCAGTTGGGATGTAATTAAACTCACTCGCTGGGAGTAATATATAGAATGGACTACGGTTAAACTCGATTAATTCGCACCGAACACAGAACAACCGGCAAGCAATAGCGACCTAGTTTTGTACTTAGTTTGCTCATGAAAATGAAACTTCTAATCAACTCTCGCATAATAAAAAGGCCTTGGTATTTATATATAATTTGTATAAAATACCAATTAGTAACATACTCTTTTTATTGTGTAAGGTGATCATTGCAATTATTTGAAAATTATTAATTATCATCATCATCATCATCATCATTTACAGCCCTTCACAAGTCCACTGCTTAACATAGGCCTCCCCCAAGTAACGCCACAAAGCACGGTCCTAAGCCACCTGCATCCATCGATCGATTCTATTTTTTTTTTTTTTTTAACCACTATCAGATTTCCGGGGGGTGGGGGGCCCTGATGACCAAGGTGATCCAGATTCATGAAAATTATTAATTATATAACTTAATAGGTAATTAAAATAATTTTATTTTATTAAATTAACTTTAAAGTATTACTCGCCGTGTAGTGGCGGTGTAGGAATATCTACTACCCCATACGATCTCGTGGGTGTCGCAAAAGGTGATAGAGAGAAATGACACTGGAGATGAGCTGCAGCGTTTTTCTGATAACAAAATAATGCGCTGCGGCTTCCAATTGCTCATCAAGCCTTATGACCTTATGAGGTAGTCTATGCGGGAAGAAAAAAAGTTATACCTATTGAATTACTTTTTATTTTACTTTTTGTTAAACAGCAAAGTTCCGCCTTTTTTTAATTGAAGTGACAAACAAAGCTGCAGTCCACCTGATGGTAAGTACCACCAGGTGAGTCGCATGCTCGTTTGCCCCCCATTATACAGAGTTATTTTTCAAAGAGTAGCCAAATTTTAAACTTAATTACAAATAATAAATAATGATATACTGTTATTGCAGTTTTTGAAAATACGTGTAAATAAGGCTTCTACTTTTATTGGAAACGTTTTTGACTACCTATCGAGCCTTGCGAATGTCTGCGTGCACAGTAAAAAACTCATTCCCACATGTTTTGAATTTAAAAGATAAAAAGGATAGAATCCTTGAGATTTTTTTTATTATTTTTTCTTCACCATTTACCAATATTACTTATTCTGAACCTTCTGCGTAAATTTGGCCGTTTATTACAAAATAACCCTGTATAAGAACAACTTCAAACAAAGGAAGCCACAATAATGTCTTCCAGACCGAATTTCGGTCACGGTGGCCAGCCTCAACAGAGGCTAGCCATCGGCGCAGGACAGGATTATAGTGCACAAGTGTATGCGCAAGCACAGGTGCACTCTCTATTCCCTCACTCTCATAATCCGATGGGACGGCAAAACGACACGACCGGAGAGAGATCAGGCTCTGGACCAACGGCTTTACGTGCTTTCCGAGGCACGGGGGTGAGACACCGCCAACTTCCTGACTCCGGCCAACTACTGAGAATTTTTTGAACGGAAAAACTTAATAATTAATTTTTGGCCCGACCCGGGATTCGAACCCAGGACCTCATGATCAGCAGTCGCACTACTACAACCACTACACCAACGAGGCAGTTTTCCACGAAGAAGCCACAACTTGTTAGCAAACATGAAGACTAAGAGGGAATACCACCTATGTAACTATACTTGCTTACTTACCATTCAATTTTACATACATAATTGCACAAGAAAAAAACAGCCACATCCAGAATAAAATTTTGCGTGCGGGAATCGAACCAGCAATGAGCAATCAAGAGCCTAACCACTGCACTACCAAAGCATCATATATTTAGACTATAAAAGTAAACAAAACAAAGTTTGTACAGTGCCGACAAAGATTCCTCTACCCTCTGCAATTATTTACAATTTAACATACGAAACTATCTACTGTGACACCATGAACGATGTATTTTCGCCTTATCTCAACAAACCACACACAGAGACCCCTTATAGCTGTGATTTAGGAAATCCTTATATAGTCAAAGCCCGGTTTGTCTTTGAGCAAAGCTACTCTTGCGTAGAGTTATGTGAATTTAATTAGTCGAGGTGTTATTTAAACTTTAGTAAATACCTTTATGGGATTTTACGTCGCGTCTATGCTTTTAGGTAATGAGAACGGTGGTGAATCATTAGGGGACTATTTAAAGTAACAAACATATTGACACTTTTATCTCTGTATATTAACGAAAACATAAGTTCCGTAAAAATAAAAACATAATGGAATAGAGTTTGACATATTCATGGCTCCGTGGCGCAATGGCTTAGCAACTAGTTGCAGCGCTGAGGGCCGCCGGTTCGAATCCCGCAGGGAAGAAGTTATTGTATGGCCTACAAATAATTGTTCCGGGTCTGGCTGGATGTTTGTCCTTGGGAAATTTATGTATGTATACCGCCCCCGCGATACAGGAGAAAATCTTATAGAGTGGAAGTTAGATGACCGAGGGGCGTTTAAAAAAAAAAGATATTCAAGAACAAATGACTATCGTCAAATCAAACTATAAATTAGATAGTTCTAGTTTTCATAATATTTATTAATATTTAATAGAAAAAAATGCATGAAAATAAAATTATTTTCTGTATATAGGTATTATAATTATTTCATTGTATTAACTAATTTTCAAATTAAATATAAAACAGAATCTAGATATTAGATTTCACCCTTTCAGCTTATCTTAAAGCTAAGCTAGGACCATAGGATGCGTTGTAGTGTTTTAGTAAGAATGGCAAGAGATCTAGTAAGAATAGCCTATGAGCCACTTTTAAGATTTGGTAAGACACTCGGTAAGTCGATGGATGCAGGTGGTTCAGGGCCGTGCTTTGTGGCATCCAATAGAGGACAGGAGGAGTAACAACAATTGACTTGTTAGGGGCTGTAAAAATGATGAGCCACTTCCTCATAATCCTCAGGGGTGCTAGCACGCTTGCTGCTGTCTTTGTATAAGCTTGACTACTGTTCTGATCCAGAAGTTGCACTCTTGCCGTCAGGTAAACTACAAGCACGTAATTTATGCATGATAGAAAAATCCACAGCAAACCGTACCCCGTGCAACAACTGTATGGCCTTGGCCCTTCTTCTCCTTCTCCAAAGTTTCGATAGAAATACTGGCGCCAGAACAGGCAAAACTCGGTGGCGCATTGTTTGCGGATTTATTTTGACTAGTTTTACACTTAAATGTCACTAAGAAATTCTTTAGCTCGCTTCGAATACGATATGTTCAATATCGATAGTTTGGGTGTTAACTTCACTAATATTTTGTTCAAAATTTAAAAATCACTGAAAAGGTGTGACTTTAGTGTAGGTTGTTTGCTATCGATGATTTAGTGAGTATTTTAACTTTGCTTGTGTAGTAGTGTTTGACTGTTATTTAAATATCGTTTACTTCGAAGACAGGTATATCAATACGAGTAGTGATGCCAGCTTGTTATCGATAAATTTTCGAATAAATGATGTTCTAATAAATAATATAGATGATTAAAAATAAGTGACTAAAAATATTTAGTGTAGATAATATTATAGTCATAGAAATATTTTTTCGTGATTAAATTAACTAATTTTTTATATGAAATACGTAGGTAAAATACAATACTAATTTAATCTTTACCGACCCTTACAAATACAGAGTTTACAAATATATTATTAACTGTTTATCCCTAAATTCTTGAATTATGAGTAATCACTTATCACGACATTATACAGTTCTAACTCCAATTACCCAACGCGAAGTTAGTGTAGCTAAATAGCCATATTGCTGCCGAGTTTCTTTCACCTTGGATATAACTCCTGTATTTCTAAAATATTGCGATATGTTGCGTCATCACTTTGCGTCTACAAATAATACTGAGAAAATTTCAAAGGAGTTAAAATGGAGTGCTCTTTCACTCTATTTCAATGGCGACTACTACTAACAATTCAGCTATAAAAACTAATCTTATATGATTAACACTCACGCCTGTCACACTCACCTTAGAGGGGTAGGCAGAGACTACACGTTTGTCGGTTAAGGGCACTCCTAATCTGGCCCATTAATAAAAATAAAACAAACCAATCCTTTCTTTTTATTTTTGTATTTGCCGGTAGTTAAAGTTTACTCGCATACCTAAATGTCTTACGTTAAGTAAATCAAGTTCATCAGTGCTGACACCGCTTCTATTGACGATTTCAATAGAATGGTTCACACATATCAATGAAAATACTTACTGCGAGCTATCAAAAAGAAACTTTGTATAGAAGATCAATGCAAATACTTATATCGAGCTACTAAAAAGAAACTTTCCATAGAAAATGGATGGAAATACCAGTCAATGAAGTCGCAGTTTTATTGCATTCAAACAACAATTTTATTTATATTTTTTTATATCATTGGGTGACAAATGTCCACCTGATGGTAAGTGGATGCTGTGGCCCATAGATCTACATTTATCCTCAATTAAGAATCAAAATGCTAAATTGCTCGTTTCCAGTAAAAAGGGTCTCCGGTTCTGTACACTCACCATACGGCATCACATATACGGCTCAACATAGCGGCATTACGCTGGTATTTTACGCTGGCATTCTGTGAGAGCGTGGTCCCTCCCCGGTCGAGTCGACTTATTCGAGCTACATCTATAATATAGTTGCAGCGGCGGCTCTAGCACGTAAATATATCTGACAACATATTTATAAATTTTTCATAATGATTTCTTATATTTACGCGAACACTATACATTGGGTGCGTTTGGCAGAAAAAAGCGCTTGCAAGCGCTTGTAAGCAAAATGGCGATCGTAAGCGGTAAGCGCTTTTAAATCGTAAATAGCTATTTTCCTCCAGGACACGATGTTAGTTTTAACCGGGGAATCTAACCTAATTTTAATATATGTTTGTAAAGTATTCATATTAAAAACTTACCAATCATGAGTTTTTAATAGCATATATATATGTTTATTCATGTCATTATATTACTTAAAACTAATATTGCACAAAACAACTTATAAACTATACTTCAAAACAAACAAATTAAATAAGCAAAATGGCGGATTGTGTCAGCGCTACTGAAGTAGCAATCGTGTCCTGGCCGAAAACTATTTTAGCGCTTATAAGCGCTTGCTAGCGCTTTTTTCTGCCAAACGCACCCATTGATTAAAACTACTTTTACGGATTTTATTGCGTTTTAGTTCCAAATCCAAATTCATGTTATGTCCATTCCAAATTATGCAAAATTGATTAAAAGTAGTTTTAATCAATTTTGCATAATTTGAATTAATCGAGGATAGAGTGACATAGGTGTCTACGGGTCACAGCGTCTACTTGCCAGGTAGACTATGTGAACGTCTGCCGTCTGATTCTTAATGATGAAGATGTCTATAGGCCACGGCATCCACTTACCATCCGGTGGACTGTGTGCTCGTTTGTCATCCTATTCTATAAAAAAAAATATTGTAGGCACGTTTGTATTTAATATTATTATTCTTCTTACATTATTCATCGAGGAAGCGTTTATTCTGGGCAGACGTTTTTGTAGCGTTGCGACGTGCTCAATTCAACACGCCAGGTTATTAGCTCAATCCGTTTCGCCACGCTGTACTCTAACCGTTATCTTAATGAGGGGCTTATGGATGTGTTAAACTGGAGTGTAAAGTAAAGTATAAAGACGATCGAAAACTTAGTTATATTTGTTAAATATTATTATTTAGTATACCAACAAAAAAGCTCAGATGGTTAACGTTTGCGGTAAATATGTATAACAGAACGCCGGCACCAATGAAATTGTTAATTGCAATTTTAAGTGCTGATTTACCACGTGCTCGGCGGTGAAGGAAAACATCGTGAGGAAACCTGCATGTCTGAGAAATTAGAAAAAAAAATATTTCGAAGACATGTGAAGTTCGCCAACACGCATTGGGGCAGCGCGGCGGACACTTCCTTGCCCTAAAACCCTCTCAGAAATGAGGGGAGGCCTGTGCCCAGCTGTGGGACGTATATAGGCTGTAACTTTACTTTTTTTACCAACAATAATACAATCGTAATAGATTTAAAGTTAAACAGTTTGCTTATTCTCGAAAACGCTTACGAAATCTATTTGGTTTTCGACTTGAACTCACGTTGTTTATTTATAGCTTACTCCTAAACCGGTTCGAATTAAGAAACAAAACCGAGTTACGATCGAGAGTGATCAGAGTTGTTAGGCCCGTATGTTACTTTTTTATCGGGATATTATTTAAATAAAAAACACCACATATTTTTATTACATAAATAGGCAAAATTTATATAAAAAAAGAACAAAATTCTCAGAGATTGCTACTACGAGCGCCATCTGCAGATAGCGGAATATACTTCCATTTCAGTAATTCCATATTAAGCCACCATTCAGCTGTACGGTAGCTTCGCTTTTGGGAGTACCGAGTTACTTGAGTTGGAATAAAATTCGATTCAATCAAAATTTGATCCTGTTTTGTAAAAAAAATACGCATTTTGATTTTTTCTGAGGAAGACACCTACATCCATGTAGGTGTCTTTAGCCACAGCATCCACTTACTATTAAGTCCGGTTTACATTTTGAGAATTGACAAGTGCGAGTTGCAAGTGCAACTGACAAATGACAAGTGCTTAATGCGTGTGATTTTTTTTGAAGGCTGTGGCAAGTGATAAGTGTGAATAGAATACGCAATACCAATCGCACTTATCAGTTCTCAAAATGTAAACCGGGCCTTAGGCGAACGGTCCGCTAGTTAGTTAGTCAACGGTTGTTTCACTTTTGTAAAAAAAAATAACCTAAAAATTAAATACATAATTTATAGTTATACAGCATTAAGAAATACCTAAAGCTGATCTCTCTCTCTTTTAACGAAATGACAATAGATAAAGACATATAAAGACAATCAATATTTAATTTAAGTACCTAAGTGGTAATCAACGATTGTAAGTAAAGCCTATAATTTATAGTTATAATTTATACATACAATTTATAAGGTATAATAATAGATATTTTACCTCATTTACAGAATTCTGTAAACAATATACAAAAGTAGATTTATCTAAGCGTATTATATCTGCATGACTTATTCTGCAACAATGAATTAAACAAGATGTTAGCTGGATTTAAAACCGTTTGAAAGCTTAAAGCCCTTCTTGCTTCGAAAATTGAGTGAGTTTGTTGCTATCGCAGAGCGGGTAAACGAGCTTATCCACCTGTTGCTAAGTAACTACCGTCACCCACGAACATCTGCAACACCAGAGGTATTGCAGGTGCGTTGCGGCAACACCGTTGCCGGTCTTTATATAAGAGGCATATGGTTTCTAAAAAACCGCTAATAATCATAATTTCGTGTAATGGAAATGAAGAGTGTACTTTCGTTGGCAACGTAGTACTTAATGACACGAAAACAAACATCTAAAACTATATTTTAAATAATCTATTAATCTTGAAATGCAAATGCGTTTGCTAATTCTATAGTAAGCCGTGGCCTCCCCAGTTATGGGCAAACAACACATACCTGGATAAGATATTTTATATTGAAATTAGAATATTAAAACAAATAGTCTAAAACAAAACAACAATCTTTGTTTAAATTAAATACAATTATTTAAATATTAACTTCTTAAGGACGATTTAATTGGATTGCACAACAGAAGGTAGAATATAGCTGTATTTTGTTAAATTATTAAAATCTATTGTAACCCATATATCACAACTGAATAAAGGTACTAGAATTAAAATTTTGAAAACTTTTTAAATAATTGTATTATAAAAAGTTGAACATGATTAGGGGCGATCACTCGCGGCAAGTAGTTCACCGCAGCGCGGAGTACTAACGACAGCCGCACCGCTGTATAGTTAATTCTTTGAAACATAAATAAACTGGATCCAGAGTTTCAAAACTCCATTAATCAAAACAAAAATATAAAAAGATACTTATGTTGTTTCTAAAAGGTTCTTTAGATAGCATTTTTTTATTTAGTAAATATGGGTGACAAGCGTCCCATACACATCTACATCTATCCTCGATTACGAATCAAAATGCAGTTGCGTTGTCACCCAATAGGACCACGATAGAATGCCTCTTTTCCAGTAAAAAGGGTCTCCGGTTTTCTTCACTCACCATACGAAACACAGCAGCATTAAGCTGCTATTTTACGCTAGTATTCTGTGAGAGTCTAG